GAATAGTATTTCGGCTTGTTTTTTCAGCGAAGCGAACCGGACCAGTTGGCAACTTCCCATGACCGGGAGGATCATTGATCCAGAAATTGTTGAGTGGCTCCTGGCTCGCTGATATTAACACCATCTGACAGCTTGTGAATTGTGATGTTCACTGCTGGCTTACGCAAGGCTGCCGCTGCACTGAACAAGCTAAGTTCCACAGGTACACTGGTTTTAAAGCCAAGCCAACTGAAGCTGATTTGTGAGAGAAAAATATTGTAGATTATTGATAAGTTCAAACGAACAGGCCTTGCTAAGGCTGAAAAATCTAGTCGCCTTACATTACATAGATAGCCCGTTTGTAGAACTGAGACCTACCAGATGTAATTAGTCTACAAATCTGAAATTATTGACTTAATTATCCACCGTGTTCGCGACTTCTGAATTCTCGTCTCTGCAGTCACCTGAACCGTAAACGAACGGTTGAGCCTTCCCGCGAAAGCAGTGGAAAGTGGATAATCTTCTCTGCATTCCGTGCAGCGCCTTGCCGTGGAAGGAAATGGCGCAGCCGCTCCCCAAGACCCCGTCGCTCGCCGGCCGCCGAGTGGCGTTCACGACGCCGCAGACGGGCAGCGGCGGCGCCTACGGCGGCCGCTTGGGCGCGCTCCTGCGGCACCGCGGCGCGCATCCGGTCCCCGTGCCCACCATCGCCGTCCACCCGCACGACCCCGACCGACTGCGCCCCTTCCTCCTGCCCGGCGCCCTGGACCCCTTCGCCGCACTCGCGTTCACCTCCCGCTCCGGCATCTCCGCCTTCGCCCGCGCCCTCTCGTCCTCCCACCGCCCCCTCTCCGACGCCTCCGCGCTCCCCTTCACCGTCGCGGCGCTGGGCAGCGACGCGGACCTCCTGGACCACGCGTTCCTCTCGCGCCTCTGTGGCGGCGACGCCGGGACGAGGGTATCCGTGCTCGTCCCCCACGTGTCCACCCCGGCCGGCGTCGTGGAGGCGCTGGGCCGCGGGTCCGGCCGCCGCGTGCTCTGCCCCGTCCCTGACGTCGTCGGCCTCCGCGAGCCTCCCGTCGTGCCGGACTTTCTCGCGGGGCTCGAGGCGTCCGGGTGGGTAGCCATGCGCGCGCCGGCGTACACCACGTGCTGGGCCGGGCCGCGCTGCGCGGAGGCGCTGGTCGATCCGGACGCTGCGGCGCTCGACGCCGTCGTGTTCACGAGCACGGCCGAGGTGGAGGGGCTGCTCAAGGGGCTGGAATCCGCGGGGTGGACCTGGGCGCGGCTGACGGCGCGTTGGCCCGGCATGGTCGTGGCCGCGCACGGGCCGGTCACCGCCCGTGGCGCGAGGAGCCTCGGCGTTGAGGTGGACATCGTGAGCGCCAGGTTCAGCAGCTTCCATGGGGTTGTCGATGCTCTTGCCGCGACATTTTCTTCCGAGAAGATAGTGTAGTTGAATTTCTCATTGCTACAACATGAAGAATTGGAAACAGCCGCAATTCGCCCGTTTCATGAATCATGAACGTTCCGAGCTACTCCTAGCTGAAAGGATCCCCTGATGGCTCTCTACTTCTCTCGATCATGCCATAGTGCCATACTGCGCGTACGGTCACACCACATGGAAACGCCGCTCGTTGGGAACGGACTACATGGCACGTCATTGCTCATCTGTAGAAGCAGGCAGATAGACGCCGAACGGGGTTGCCTACTGACTACTGTCTCCTTAACGAAACGTCGAGCTGGGCTGCTGTCAGACACAGAAGACAACCAGTCAATGAACCACGGCAATGTCCGTGCGCCTGTACAGCATGTTGCATTGCAGCAGTCAGGATGGACATGGTTCACCTTCACCTGCAGTCACTCGCGCCAAATTACCATCACGAGTATAACAATTTTTACGGGATCTATTGTCAGTAATTTATCTGAGTTATTGGATTTTTATCTGATGACAAGTGCATGGAGCAGAGGGCTTTTCAATTAGTTGATATACATGGAAGTCGCCAGTAGTTCAGTTGTTGAACTGTTTACCTTTAGTTTCTGTCATCCCATCATGTCGTGAGCGTACAATTATGTGGCAAGGGATTGGTTCGCAGAAACAAGTGCTAGTTGTTGGAGTCAATTCTATATATGTTTTATGTTGTCCATTGCCTAGACGCCTTCCACATACCTTAGGAGTTTCATTCTGGTATCTTTTCAATTTCTATTTTGAATTTCTGCAATTCGGCTCCTTTTATACAATGATAAAGGCTAATCACCTTGGAGTTAAGTATCCACTGCATTTTTTTTATCTCCTCACTTTCTGTTTCTGACTGTCACAAGACAAGGGAATAGAAAGAGAAAATTGGAAAGAGCCTGCAAACTGATTGTAAATCACAGGACTTTGTTTTGCACCAACTTATCACCTAGAAAAAGATGCCTACTGAATCTATTGTAAATCTACCTTCAACCAACCCATCTTGTATCTGTCAATTGTGATCACCAAAACTGTGTTGATATGATGTACCATTCTTGCTCTTTCTTCTCTAGAATATTCCTGTTGGTGCTTATAAGAGAAGGTTTGTTTGGATCGGAGCTCAGCATCAATTGTCACTGTCTGAGAACATGGTGAGCTCAAACAAGGGCAAAGTATGTGTAACTGGGGCTTCAGGCTTTATTGCCTCTTGGCTTATCAAACGGCTTCTCGAGTCTGGATATCATGTGGTAGGGACTGCCAGAGACACAGGTATTTAATATCGTTACTTTTGTATCAATCCTCTTTATTACATTAATTCTTGTATATCAATTTTTGTATTATGAACTGTTCCTCTTTTTTTTGTAACCTATAAGGAAATCACCAAAAAACAGCACACCTTTGGAAATTGCCTGGTGCCAAAGAGAGGTTGCAAATTGTGCGAGCTGATCTGTTGGAAGAAGGGAGCTTTGACAATGCTGTGATGGACTGTGATGGCGTCTTCCACACTGCATCCCCTGTCCTCGCTAAATCTGATTCTAGTAGCAAGGCATGCCGCATTTCCTTTAAACATTTTGCTCTTTCATCAGTCATCATCATCATGGTACATACGCATCTGAATCATCCTACTACAGTCTTTTCGTTCAGGGTTTTGTGTATCAATTTGCTACTTTATTTTGGCTTTAGAAGTTAAGATGGTTGTTCAAATTCTTGTTTCCTTCTACGGAAATGCATCTACTGTGAAGTTAAACCGTTTTCATGTGATATTCATGTTGCAGGAGGAAACGCTCGTTCCAGCAGTAAACGGTACTCTGAATGTGCTAAGATCATGCAAGAAGAACCCATTTCTGAAAAGGGTTGTTCTTACATCTTCATCATCTGCAGTGAGGATTAGGGATGATGATCAGCCTAATATCTCACTGGATGAAACAACATGGAGCTCTGTGCCACTCTGTGAAAAGATGCAGGTGATATATGGAACGATCCTACCTTCTTTTTGTGCATTACCATGTGACCGATCTCAAACCATGATCTGAAAAATGTCGTCATCCCTTTTATTCATCCAAAGCTATGGTATGCCCTAGCGAAGGTATTTGCAGAGAAAGCGGCATGGGAGTTTGCCAAGGAGAACAACATTGACCTTGTGACTGTCCTCCCATCATTCGTGATCGGGCCCAGTTTATCCCATGAATTATGTGTTACCGCTTCGGATGTCCTAGGCTTATTCCAAGGTATTCATTCATGTTCCTTGTCGCATCACCATTTAGCTCTGTTTTTTCATGTGTTAGGTTAAACACAAGAGGTATGCTCAGCTACTCAAGTGAGTCCTAACGAAATCACCTTTATTCAGGTGACACGGCAAGGTTCAGTTCTTACGGAAGAATGGGATACGTTCACATCGACGATGTTGCCAGCAGCCATATCCTGGTGTACGAGGCCCCCGAGGCCACCGGGAGATACCTGTGCAGCTCGGTGGTGCTGGACAACGACGAGCTGGTCTCCTTGCTCGCGAAACGATACCCGATATTCCCCATACCCCGGAGGTTAGTCGTTTGGATACGCGCCATTGACAGTCATGAAACCGAAGCTAAATCTCTGACTGAAATGCTGTAATTCCTCTGCAGACTGAACAGCCCTTACGGCAAGCAGTCGTATCAGCTGAACACGTCGAAGCTGCAGGGGCTGGGCATCAAGTTCAGAGGAGTGCAGGAGATGTTCGACGACTGTGTCCAGTCGCTCAAAGATCAGGGCCACCTGCTGGAGTGCCCCCTGTGATGAAGATTGAGGGAGGAAGAGGTCTTGTCCCCGACAAGAACAGGCCATGCTCTTTCAAAAAGACAAGAACAGGCCATAGCCAAACACAGTTAGCTTGCCTGCCAATTTGTTTCAATAATTCCATGTCATGTCAGCGTCCTTGCGTGAACTGCTGCTGTCAGTTTATCGCTCACGGAATCTTTAGAAAGAAAAGGTCATAGCTCACGGGTTCTACGACTACATGAATAAAATTTCACGCTCGCCATTTGCTTTACCATTTTTTGTTCGTTTTGTGAACTTCCATTTGCTGTATATGATTGTGGTTGTTGCCTTGTCGGTGAGAACTGGTACGGCGCGCTAGGATAAACGGGGGCGAGCGCCTCGCAGATCATTCTTCGCTGAAGTGCGAGTGCAAATACCGAACGCCGTGTGCCGGTTCGGATAGACAAATGGCTCCACGATCTGAATCATTGGATGATAAATCCGTACAAATTGTCCCCACTGATTTCACTGGATGGCACTAGCATCAATTCATAATCTCAATCCCAAATTCCCAAATGCAAAGCCACAAAATAAAATGTACAGTATTTCAAGCCGCAAAGAAAATGTACAGTATTTCAAGCCACAATTCCTGGCTCAAAAGTCAAAACTAGCCACGAGTCAAGACCACACCTGTATTTACATGCACACCCAAAGCCCTTTGCATGGGCTATTGGAGACAGTCTTACACTCTGTAACTCGTCACGACGCATCGCATGCATCTGAGTTATGAACGGACACGAAACCAACCAAAACAGAGCAACGTACGTGGCGCCTAGTCAGCGAGATCCCTATGTACAACGTATCTGAAGGACGACTTGTACGGCATCCACTGGACGCACTTGTCGACCCTCCGCCGGAGGCCGTGCTGCTGCAGCTGCTGGAGCTGCTTCTGCTGCGCGTCCGACATGCTCTCGCACACCAGCTCCACCAGGTGCCGCAGCTCCAGCGCGGCGTCCCTGGCGTAGTAGTGCAGCACCTTGGGCAGCAGCAGCGCCTGCTTCCGCACCACCACGCTGCCCTGGATGAACTCCGTCCGCGCCGCCTCCAGCTGCTGCTGTATCTTCTTCGCCGTGTATAACCGGACCTGCAATGCAACACTGCTTATTATGCTGTCTTGCCATAGGCTCTGAAAATGGTACCAGTATGATCAAAGAGCTTACGGGTGGGTCTGAAAATGCTCCGGTGGAGAGGGCGAAATGCGCAACTGGTTCTGGATGGTGAAGAGCATAGGGGTGCCTTGCCGTCACTGCACTGGATCTTTTCGTCGGTGTGAATAGCGCGCGGACCCACTGAAATGTAATTCACGATAGTTTGTTTGCTCTGTGTATATTTCCTGATGACACTGCCTGTGATTTTTGTTGTTAAGGGAAATGCCATGTTTTGCATATGTACGTACCAATGATGGACGATGGGATTGGCATCCAAGAATTGAGTTCTGAATAGTCTGGGCATTTACTGATTGGCCACCAACATTATACGCAGCCTGGCGAAAGATGTTACCAAAAAATTCTCAGTAAAACTCGTTAAAATGGACAGATACATTTGTGTGTAAGTAGAGACAGATAGCACTACGAGGAAATGAAATGCTGTACCTTCAGAATAATGTCCGTGCTCTTCGTGCGTTTGTCATGTAGACCGTAGGCCAGAAAAGCCTGTCATGTCACAAGGCAATAATACAGGTTATTAAGGATGAATTCTGAGTTATGGGATAACGACGGGACATAGGAAAGTTGAGATTGAAATTTCAGTATAGGGCAATACATGCATGACTAGAGCATTGTGGATATTAATCCAAAAGCAGAGCTGCTCCTCATGTGTCATCTTCATTGGGTCAACTTTTTGGAGGCGCTGTATCAGAGATCTGAGGCACAGCATGTACAGATATATAAATAAGCACCTGAAGAATTGTGTCATCTTCGAAGGGAAACTTCACTGGTTTTCTTGTTTCCTTCGGTTACCTGATAGTCTCGAGCATTTTTGAGGCATAATCAAACTTGTCAGCATCAATGCGTATCCTCGGAATGACAATCAGGCCTATGTTTTGTTCACTACTCTCTTTCTGAAGTCCACACGGGCGTGGGCTATCAAAGTTGTACCGAGGGCTCCAACTATCATTACCGCGCCTCGGAGAAAAAGTACTTGAAGATGAAACAGAAGGACTTGGTGAGGCCATGCATTCTGCGCCTTGCGGTTCCGTGCTTGAAAGTTTGCAGTAGACAGCAGCAATGCAGCCTAAGATGTCCTCCGATAATTTGCATGAGATCTTAGGCACATATTCGGAAATAGAAGCACTCAAGAAGTTAACAAGGCTGGAATGCCTTGCGCCTGATTTTGATACCTCCTGCAACATATGAGGTGTCAGATGTTTTTCAACTAGAAAGATCGTGCTACTAGCATGAAAGAATGAAAGAAATGATATGTGCACTGACAGAATTTGAGACGGTGGGCAAGTTGAACGCTGCAGAGTGCTTTATGTCCCTCAAACGGAGTGCGCCCTCGTCGATGTTTTTCAGAATTTCTTGATCCACCTGCTGCTAGTGATAGCAATATTAGGATATTGGACATTTAGATTTCATACCATCTGATCTCATCTCATCTCATCTAATACGGGGAGTTAGGTACCTCACTTGTGAAGCTGCAGGATTCAGATACATATTGATGAAACGCTCTTCTATAGAGGGAAAGCAGATGCAATTCCTTGCGTATGACTTCCTGCTCGAGAGCTGCAATCTCCCCAACTAAATCTGCAACAGACTGCGGAAAGGCAAGATCAGAACTAAAAATGCAGCATGATAGTCTGACTGGTGAACAAGTTGATGGAATATATTTTCTGAATTCAGAGTTTTCAGTGTGATGAACATGTTTGTGTTTAGATTTTAAACCGTTTTTTTTCTCGAATACGCAAAAATGTTTGCGCATCTTTGTATTAAGATCGAGAAAAGTGAAAGTTACAACGACGCACCACGGACATGGCACACTAGGGGGTTAGTGTTATACAATCGGCTCTGCCCTCCCTAACATAATGAGATCATGGCCTATTACTCGCTAATCATACTATCTAGCCATCATCGGCGATCAGACGCGTTGGCTTGCGCGGTGCACTACATAACTCTAGGAATGAACAGTAGCCTACAACATATGCATTTTCATATTTCATCTGCTTTGATATAAATATACTGTTCTCGACAGTTTAAATCAATTTTGTAGGAGTTGCTACAAACCTTTGAGGTAGCCTTTTGGGTTCGTTCTGATGCTTTTCTGGAGTAATGGCCTGGCAATTGCTCTGGCATGTTCAGAGAATGTCTTCTGTTGAACATCTTATCTCTATGTGTGGCCTGCATGATACAAGGTCATTACAATAAGTAAACTGGAGAAATGTCTATGCAGAAGAAAATATATACAGCAAGATGGCTCCAATTTACTCACAGGCTTGCAGTAGGAGAACCGTGGTGACATGTCCAATGCGCCTTCTTGTGGCTTCAGAATGCTAAAGTGACAACTAGTAAATGATTAGAACAATTTTTCCATTTTGATATGTTGGCACAAATCAATTGAAAGTCTTCTCAACACCCTAGGCCTTGCTGACATCAGAAATTTTCTACACGCAAACTTTGCCTAAAACTATTTTTACAGTAGTGTAAGTTTAATCCATACTGGCACCATTGTCAACCGTTTTCTTGAAGATGGACTCCGGACAGTGGACTACACTACAGCGGTACTGTACTTGTGGCCTAAAGGAATTCAATGTGATATGAAGAGGACGATTGAATTGTGGTGCAGCAAGAAGTTAATAGGCTGCTGAACTGAAATAATGCAAGATTGCTGTGTATGCACGGTACGGACGATGAACTGAACAGTGCTTAAACACGGTTCAGAATGGTAGAGGACTAGAGGTAGCTGTCTACATGTCCTTTCTCCAGCTTCCCTGCTCGCCTATACTCCTCCTCTGTGCGTTTCTTAAGCTGCGTGCTCTTTCAACATGTGCAGCATCGAGTAATCATGACGAATCGCACAGGTTACGGGAGAAAATTTTCACTCAGGTTTCACCGTTTCAGGGGATGAGAGTGCGAGAGAAAGTACAGCTCTAACCTCCGTGAAGAGTACCGACGCTGGAGACTGCAAGACGACTGAACCGACCTCGGCGTGCCGGCGCAGGACGCAGTCTCCGAGAGCACCCCTGACCTCGACTCCCTCTCCATCGCCGGTTGAGAGGCTCGTCTCCCCTCACCTAGAACCTGCGGCCAGGCGGCAGCCATCAATCAATCCACGACCAAGAGTGGCATGTGCAATGGAAGCAAGCAATCTCCACAGCGATGCATCTGATCAATCTCTCGGCGATCGATCTTATCGGCTGGATTAGCATTACTGTAGCGGTAGAGTATCTGACAGCAGGAGCAGGGTCGCCATACCTTATTGAGCTGTTCCTGCCGGGAAGAGTGAGTTGTCCATGTACGGAGCAACAAAGGCGCCGTGGCTCCGCTTTGTCCGGGAGCTGGAGGAGCTCAACTGCTCCGGGCTCCGGTGGTTGTCAAAAGAACCACAGAGCTTACTCCCTCGTGCATGCAGAGGAAAAGACCAGGGCTTTGTTTCTTGGATATCAACGACAGAACAGAATCAGTAGCCAAAACAAATGGGAATGGAAAAGAAGGCCAGCAAAAGCAAGGGCTTTAAAGGGAGGGAGGAGGAAGAAAGAGGAATCAATCGGACAGTGGGCATCAATCCTCGTTGTCCCACCGCTGTTAATTCTTTAACCGAAGGAACAGGGAAAGGCTAGCGGCTGCCACTCCATTCCCCAAACCAAACCACTGCAATCTAATCATCACTAGTAGCAGCAGCAGTAGATAGTCTGGCTGAATTAGTACTAGTAGCAGTGTCATAAGCTGGGGACAAGCAAGCACCAAATCTTTTTTTGTTTTTGTGGCAAAGGAGATGTGTGAGGATGACTGAATGAGTGGAGTATTATTTGGTGGGGGAGCAGGGAGGGCAGGTGGGAATAATACGGGGATTTGGTTGCTGGCTTTTCTAATGTTGCTTTGGGGGAGTAAGAGCATCTCCAAAAATTTTCTAAACATCCTCCTAATCTTTTTTTTAAAAGATGGAAAAAATCACTCTCCAACAACTTATAATATTTACTCCTAATTTTTTAGGACTTGGGAAATCCCCCCTCCGCGTAACTTTACGCGGACGAAGCCGCGCGCGGAGACGCCGTGCATCGTCCTTCTTCCCGCGCCGTATTTTGCCGCGAGGCCATCTTTCGTGCGCTCTCCATCGGTGGTTCTAGGTCGCGGTAGAAAGAAGTCGCTCCTCCATCGCTCGCCACCAGGAACTCGCCGCTCCATCGCTCGCCACCAAGAAGAGGATCGACGCTGCCGCGGACGTGGGCTTGCTGCGCCGCCGCCGCCGCCACCTTGGCTTCGTGCCGGCCACCGCCGTCGTAGGCTGGGAGGTGGTGTTGTGCTTCCTTTCTTGTTTGATTGCCCCGCCGCCGGCCGGCCGCCCATTTGATTTCGGAGTTGCATCAACATCCATCCATCTATCTAATCGATCTATAGTAGTATCCTATATCGATCCCCGTATACATCAAAGTTACGCACGTGTAAAATACTTGATGGCCGGCTGCAAGCTGATGGCTACCTGCTACTGCTACTTGATGGGCGGCAACCTGCTGATGCCTAGCTGCTGTGTACTGCTGCAGGGTACTGTATACATGCGTGGTGCTGAACCACTACAAGGGCTAGGAGGAGCAGGCCGCCGGCTGGGACCAGCAGAGCTAGGGCAACGCGAAGGAAGATGGTGGCGGCGGCGTACGTATGCACGGGACGAAGAGGTACGCACGAAAAAAAGAACGTAAAAAAACCTGAGTGGGACCCAAATTTGATTATTGAGAAGTAAAATATTAGAAACAATTGGAGATGGTCTTTTTTTCTCCTAATATTTTTTTAGGAGTTGAAAAACATAGAGTTTTTAGGAGGAAAATTTAGAGAACACTTGAGATGCTCAAACGTTGTCAGGACTCAAGACTATGAAGAAGATAACCGTTCATTCCTGGTCAATCACTATATTCACCGTCACCAAATTTGGTCAGGGAGTGTTTGGTTCCACCCCTAAACTTTAGTCGCTGTCCTACTTTAGTCACTGTCCTATCGGATGTTTGGACATATACATGAAGTATTAAATATAGACTAATTACGAAACTAAATACACAGATTGAGATTAATTTACGAGATGAATTTTTAAGCCTAATTAGTCCACGATTTGATAATGTGGTGCTACAGTAAACATTTGCTAATGATGGATTAATTAGGCTTAATAAATTCGTCTCGCAGGGTTTACTGACCGATTCTGTAATTTATTTTTTTATTAGTATCCGAATACCCTATACGACACCCTGGATTTTTTATGCTTTATTACGGTGGCAAGTAGCTCGGATAGTTCATTTATGTCGTGCGACCGTAAAGTCGGGAGGAGGTCAACCGCTTTTTACATGGGGAACTGGACACATGAACTTTGAGACTCATTAGTAGGGATGAAAATGGTACGGATATTTTTTTTTGACTGTATTCGAGACCGAATCCGTTTAGAGGGATTTAGATCTGTCCGTATCCGAGTCTGGATATTCAATATCTGATACCGTATCCGTATCCAAATAATCAAATCGCATATTTATGATGTCGATATCAATCATATTCTATTCGGCATGGTTGACACTATCCATATTCAAATCCAAACCCGGACATAAATATAAAAATAAATGTAATATTAGTGCCGATCCGTTTTCATCCCTGATCATTAGCATCTGAGTATCTGACTCTCCCATTTAGAGTGCTCTCAGTCTCTCTGTATGTTCGGTTCTCTTGTTCGTGTAACCAAACCAAAACAAAACAAAACAGAACAAAGAATACGCAAACAAAACAGAACAAAGAATACGCTTGCTTAAGATTTGTGTGAGAAACATGTTCGATTCTTTGACACTGCAAAGAGGGGCAAACAGTAGCACCTTTATGTGGAGCAGAAGCAACGCGGACGCGGTTGAGTGAGCCCTGAGCCCCTGACGGACGGATGGTCAAACCGAGCCGACGGTGCCTTGCACCAAGAGCAGTCCATCCAAGGTGGCAGGCGTACCACGCTGGTCGGCTGGTGGCGCCTTGCATGCACGCTTGCTCCTTCCCGTGACCCCCCGTGTACAAAAGAACAGAGTTCGGCCTCTGAACTCTGCTCTGATGCAACATCTCATCTCCTCGGCTCCTTGTCCTGCAGCTGCAGGCCTGTGATCTTGGCAATAATGCAGAAAACCCAACACAGTTGTAAAGGAGGATTTCATCCGTCATCACCCACCGGCGCAGCGCAGCACCGGGTCACTGTCGTCTACCACGACGACCCAAGGTCGGAGAAGCTCCAAGCCCGGAGATCCGGCATTCGTAGGCAAGCGGACAAACAGCGGCATGCGAGTCTGCGCTGTGCCTCATAAACAAGCGGTGTCCCACCACTGCCACTGCCACCACCACGGCTCCAATGTATCGCATGCGTGGCAACTCGCAACGCATCACGCCGTGTTTAGTTTGGGAAGTTGGGAATTTGGGTTATTATAGCATTTTTGTTTTTATTTGGTAATTAGTGTTTAATTATGGAGTAATTAGGCTCAAAACGTTCGTCTCGTAATTTCCAATCAAACTGTGCAATTAGTTTTTTTTCGTTTATATTTAATACTCCATACATATATCGCAAGATTTGATGTAATAAGTACTGTAGCATTTTTTGGAATTTTGGATGGTAACTAAACACGCGCTCAGTTCAGATGCATCAGATTAGTAGTACTACTAGGGCAGGCCATCATCATTCATCGTTGTTTTAGGCCTTCTTTAGTTTCTTTCCGTAAAGTTTACTTTCTATCTCATCAAAAATTTAGACATATGTATAAAGTATTAAATATAGATTAAAAATAATTAATTATATAGTTTACGACTAATTTGTGAGACGAATCTTTTAAGTCTAATTAATTCATGATTTGACAATGTGGTGCTACAGTAACGCATGTGCCGATGGCAGATTAATTAGGCTTAATAAATTCGTCTCGTGGATTATTGATGAATTATGTAATTTTTTTTATTAGTATCCGAATAGTCCATGGGACGACCTTACGTAATACTCGATTTGACACCCTAAAACTTTACGCTCTGGATTTAAACTAAGCCTTAATAACGATGAAAGTAACGATGAAAGGATCGGTTTGCGGCCGACGATCGGAGTGACAAGGATGGATGGGGCCGAGATCCGAGATGGGGTGGAAGATCGACGGGCGACGAATCCGCGCTTATTTTTTTATGCCCGCGGACCGCGAGTAAACAAACACGGGGAAGCAAAGCAGGAACGAAGCATCTTCGTTCGACGAGCGGCACGGCATGGCGGCACCCGCAACCGCAACCGCATCCCCCGACGCGGCGAGGCCGGGGTGCGGATCGGATAAACAAATGCCTGCCCACAGTGCCCAGACCTGGAACGGGCCCGGCGGACGCGCGTGCACCGCCCCCCGTGCGCCCCATGTCTGCCGACGCGCGCGGGCGCAGCGAAGCAGTGTGGCGCGAGACGGCCAGAAGGGACCGCGGCGCCGCCCGGCCGAGCCTCCCGTCTCATGCATCCCCCGCTCGCGCCGTGAGTGGAACGACGTCGGCGTCGAGGGCGGGGTTGGTGGCCACCCGCCCACCTACCTGCTGCTGAGTTACGTGTGCGGGATGGCCCTGCCCCTGCGTCTGCATGGCAATGGCTGCCTACTGTAGGGCTGTAGGCTGTTGGCTTGGCTCACTGCCTGCCTGGTACCGGTACGGATGATTAAGAAGCGCGTGATCAGCCGCGCGGCGGTCCTGATCGGTCCCATCATTCAGGTCCCGGAACCTTTGCGAGCTCGAGGAAATTTCATGGCGCCCGCAGCCGTCTCGACATCGATAGGATCGCGGGACCACGGGCCCAGCGTCCTTTCTCCTGCCGTCGTTGATCCGTCCTTTCCTCCTACAGCTAGGCGTCGACGGTGTCGGCACTGTGCACCCCCTTGGCCGGAATCTTGTTCAGGGGTTGTTTGTTCTGCATACTTGGAACTCACCGTCTCATGTAGTCATATACCAGAGCACTTGGCATCCAAAAGTGATCTCAGTGTGGGTGATTGGTTTACATACCTGCCCTAAGATTTCTACTTTTCTAGCGAGGC